AGTGGATTATATCTCTCTTTCGAATGCTTGATTTGTTTACTTGGATGCTGTGAAATGGAAGAGTGGTTCCGGGTTCGATTCACTTCATGAAAATCATGGATTCGTTTCAAATTTCCATCTCTGAGAGATTCGGAAAAATACGCCCCCATCTTTTAGAAGTTTCAATCTTGACTGTTTCCAATTTGATTCTCTCAGAGATTCTCCAATGATGGATTTGTGTCTGTCTACGCGATTTGATGATGCCTGTGGTCTTTCTGAAATTCTCGTGATTTGCGAAATGAAAATTTTGAGCATTTGGAACTAATGAACAAGTTTGATCAGTGGTTATAAGATTCAAATTGGATTAGAATTTGATCAGAATCAATATGTTTACCCTTCTTACAAAATGAGTATTGTTTTCTTTGTGGGTTTGCTTATTTTCGTCTAATCTTTCAGGGGGATTCACAGTCAAATGATCCGGTTGCTTACGATAATGGAGTGACCTACATGTTTGTACAGCATAGTAATATTTACCTGATGATAGCTTCCAGACAGAACTGTAATGCTGCCAGTCTTCTCTTCTTCTTGCATCGTGTGGTCGATGTAAGAATCCCTATTGATTTAGTTTTTGCAATTTCCGTCTTTTTACCGGATTGGAAGAAAATGAACGGTACTGTTTCATATGATACCGATCATTTACATGTTTCTAATACTGATTGTAGGTCTTCAAGCATTACTTTGAGGAGTTAGAGGAAGAATCATTGAGGGATAACTTTGTGGTGGTGGTATGTTAATTCTTCTCCCATCTGCTCTTATGATACTTTTTTGATGCTTGATGTTGTTATTTCTCTTGCGTGGCCTAATAGATTATGTGAGGCAAACAAAATCTCTAATATTAGATTCTGAAAAATTGACTTCTTTTGCTGGCAGTACGAGCTACTTGACGAGATGATGGACTTTGGTTACCCTCAGTATACTGAAGCAAGAATCCTTAGTGAATTCATCAAAACTGATGCATATAGAATGGAAGTAACACAGAGACCTCCAATGGCTGTCACAAATGCTGTCTCATGGAGGAGTGAAGGGTTACAGTTTAAGAAAAACGAAGTAGGTGCTCAGTTGTCAAGCAGGGAACAGTTTATTCTTCTAGTGTTTGGTTTCCAAATGTTACAAACTTTTTTCTTGTTTTCCAGGTTTTCTTGGACGTAATAGAGAGTGTAAATATCCTTGTGAACAGTAATGGGCAAATTGTGAGGTCTGATGTTGTTGGAGCATTGAAGATGCGAACATACTTGAGGTGTGATCTCTAGTGTTTTCGATCAGCGTATGTTAGATCAAAAGTCCTTCCTCTTTGACTCTCTGCTTCTTAATCCATGTTATTACAGTGGAATGCCAGAGTGTAAGCTAGGCCTGAATGATAGAGTATTGTTGGAAGCACAAGGACGGGCAACAAAAGGAAAAGCCATTGATTTAGAGGACATCAAATTTCATCAGTACGTTATTCTCTTGCAACACCGAACATTCTCTGACAATCACTTATCCAAACCACTTTTTCAATGCTTGAGTCTTACATGTCTATTTCTTCTAAATGTAGGTGTGTACGACTGGCCCGTTTTGAGAATGATAGGACGATATCTTTCATACCACCTGATGGAGCTTTTGATTTAATGACATATAGACTCAGTACCCAGGTTCAAAATTTGGAATATTGCATGCGTTGTTTTTTTCCCTACTTTTTAACAAACTAAATCTCATGATATATATAATACTTGCTCAGGTAAAGCCTCTTATATGGGTGGAAGCACAGATAGAGAGGCATTCCAGAAGTCGGGTTGAGATGCTCGTAAAAGCTAGAAGCCAGTTCAAGGAAAGAAGGTAATAATCCTTGTGTGACTTATTTGATTGTACTTTTTATCAGTACTTTAAATCCTTCAAAACGTTTCAATAAGAGTTCCTTTTCTGCAGCACTGCAACGAATGTTGAGATTGAGTTGCCTGTACCAACCGATGCGTCTAACCCCAATGTAAGAACATCTCTCGGGTCTGCGGCATATGCTCCAGAAAAAGATGCATTGGTCTGGAAAATCAAATCTTTCCCTGGGAACAAGGTAAGTTCTTATGATTTTAAATGTAACACTTGACCATATAACGTTGAATGCTTTAATGTAAAGTTTTGAAACAATGTAGGAGTATATGTTGAGAGCAGAGTTCCATCTTCCAAGTATAACTGCAGAGGAAGCCACACCCGAGCGAAAAGCTCCAATCCGTGTCAAATTTGAGATCCCATATTTCACTGTTTCAGGAATACAGGTGTGTATATATATTGGGTTTTGTCTGTATTTCTGCACCTAAATCGGAAGATAACCTTAAAGTGGAAGAATCCTGATGCATGTTAATTTATCGGTTTTGCAGGTTCGATACCTGAAGATCATTGAAAAGAGTGGGTACCAAGCTCTCCCATGGGTGAGATATATAACCATGGCTGGTGAGTACGAACTCAGACTCATGTAATATGAGGTCTGTTTTTTCTTTTTGTTTTTATTTAAGCCATTGTCAACGAAACAAAGCAGAGGAAGATCGACGAAAAGGAAAAAGATATGAAATATTATAGCTGATGAAATTTGCAGTGAAAGTTGTTTTAGAAGCCATATTCTTGTGAATTGTTTTATGTTCTCTCTTCTTCTTTTTTTAACCTGTAAGCTTCTTACAACAATTTTATTTTGGTTCAAAAAAATGTTAAACGAGCTATTTTACTATATTTTGGATTCGTGGCCGTTTGGTTTGGTTTGGTTTTTTTTGTCCGTGTAACGGCGGAATGAAACGACATGTAGTTTGGGTGACTATACCACGAATGGCATGCAGTTTTTCTTATAATTTTTCCATGTTGGAAATTTACTAATGACAATTACATTAGCTTTTGTATTATTTTCAAGCAAAAAATCAACGATATTATAAGATGCTATTTGAAGTTTCGGATTATGGACGGTATAAATTGTCCTCGTCGGGGATGATAATTGGTAGAATCTGACTTGAATTAATATGACAAAACAAGAAGTATTACAAATTTTAAATGAAAAGGTAGATGTTTAGAGTACAACAAATCTCGAGAGAGAACAAGAAGAACAATGAATTTTCTCTGTATTAATAAATTGCCTAACAAAATTAAGCCCAACGACGACCCAACCCTATTACATTTGTAAAAAAAAAATGATCAAAATGTACAAAAGCTGCTTATCTTTTTTGTTGAGTTTATCAAAGAGGAGAACGAGGAGATAGGTTAGGGAGAGTCTGAGGAATCTTCCTAAAAACATGTTTCCTGCAACGTTGGAAGATACTGTCGTATATAAGATCAAACTGTACTCCAGCTCTCTCTCTATTCACTATGAACATTATATGATCTGCTTCCACTATCTTATAATACCTGCAACAACAACAATTCAATTTTCTCATTTTCATCAAAAACATTCAACTTTTTCACTACATAGCATTTGTTCAACATACTATATGATTTCACTCACCAGATCCCGGGTTGTAACGAATGGCATTCCGAATCGCTTCTTATGAACCGGCTTGGATGCTCAATGGGTAGCCTCGGATGCGTCATTGATATCGTGTTTAATGCCCCGTCGTTCTCTTGCCATTCGTCATCCCTTCATTCGAAAACATTTCTTTTCTTAGAGCAATGCAGCTACTTTGCAATGTAAAAGTTTGGATCTTTTTTGGGTATGGTGTGTTATATATACCTGTAGCCTTTATAAGGAGGAGATACGTCTTGTGGGAATCGCCATTGGCTCATTTGAAAGACGCGGAGGAAGAGCATCGGGTGGATTCCAAGAACACCTGAAGGGATTGTCATTCCCATGATTCTGCGTGTGCGTTTAGTCGCGTAGCTGAAGTAGTAAGTGCTTGGGAATGTTTGGAGATTGGTGTTAAGACTTGTCGAGCCTTGGATCGTGAGGTCGGGTAAAATCCAATCACCGGAAGCAAAAGGACCTGCGTTCCCCATTAGGCAATCAATAAGACCTCTCACGCCAGTTTTCTTCCAAGAAATGTTGAAGTGATCGAACCCGAAGTTGTAATAAGTCTTTAGCCATGAAATGTCCATCCAATCGTACATTATCACGCCTATGCGACATAGCTGCAACAGACATATCGGTTTCATGCTCATGCCATCATCTGTCCTGTAATAGCAACAATAAGATCAAACCTTTATATTTCAAAATGCAGAAAATGGAAGATCCAGTGAACTGCAAGATCCATGACATACCGAGAAAAAGAACTGAGATATTCAGGAAGGAAACTAACCTCATGCCATCTAAGTAAGTCCTGGTAGTACCATTGAATGCCCCGGACAACGATGTCACACTCAGAACCCAATTCTCATTCGTTTCTTCAAACCCTTCAAATGCCTTATCTGCAAGCATTTGCTGCAACACGCGAACAACTTGCGCACCCGCTGAATGCCCCACAAAATGAATAGGATGATCCTCATCCCATTCAGGGTATTGCCCTAAAACACACATACCAAAGTCAGATTTACATTCAAAAATGAAACATTTGGATACATTACTCTTTCAATGAGAACATCATATCGAATCCTAACCTTCTCCGTATTCTCTTCCAAACCGAGAATGTCCACAAGCCTCGCTATGCTCTTCGCCGAAATCAACTCTCCCTCCTTTTAAGTAATAGAACAATTCCCTTGCCCTAAAAACCATTTTTTTATCATCAGCACAATGAACACATAATCCTAGATTCAAAATGTGCATCCAAATCACTAAATCCTACAACTGCAAATTTGAATTCAATACCTATCATAGATGCTTGTTAATGATCCCAAATCAGGAACAAGAACCCTCTCATCTTTCTTCTCAGCACCACCAAAGTATGATAAGCCTCCTAATCTCTGATCAATCAAATGAAGAGTAAAACAATGACATCAAAACCAGAATCTAATTTCATAAAACAAAAAGAACCAATTCAATGAGCATTTACCCCTTTGCCAAACCCAAAGATCCCATGAACCAATACAATTGGAGGCAGACCCTCAACATTGGTTTGATTTTGACCGGTTTCTCCGACGACGTCGACATTGGGCTTAAACAAGTAATCATTCAACGTCAGAGAAAGATCTCCGGCGACGGCGGAGCTGAATATATAAAACCCATAAAGCAAATGCACCATAGAGCTCACAAAGAGCTCTGCGAGTTGAAGACAAGTCATCATCCACAACTTTA